CTGTCTCACTCCATATTATAAAGCCTGTGATCAAGGAGTATCCCTGGGAATTAATTTACAAATATTCCTTTGTTAACAGGTTACTCAGAATCACCTCTCTCTGCCTCATATTCAGGGACAGACTGCTCAGGCGACGCAATGCTCTGCCCACGCCACTCATCACAGCTGCTGAAATAGAGAAGGCCAGAATTTACTGGATTCAGGCCACGCAATCCTTGTACTTCAAGGACGAAATTGCAGCCTTCGCCAAAGAAATTTCTCTTCCGTCAACGTATCCGTTCACTCGACTGACCGCCTACCTCGACCATCAAGGAATTGCCAGAATAGGCGGACGTCTTCAGCACTCAGAACTCTCGCACGAAGGCAAACATCCAGCTATTTTGCCTCGTGATTCACGGTTCTCAGCACTTCTCATCGACCATGCCCATCAACAGACGATGCACGGAGGTACGCAATACACCCTCGCCTTTATCAGACAATGCTACTGGATCATCGGTGGACGAGCTCCAGTGAAATCGCATATTCTTCGGTGTGTAAAGTGTGCTCGGCAGAGGGGGATCCGTGCCCATCAACTGATGGGCCAACTAAGAAGATGCTTCTCTCACGCGTGAGAAATCAATAACATTACTCACGCAGATTGAAGTCATCCTGATCTCGAGACCTTTGGAACCACTCAACGACGCTTCTGACGACGGTTCATTCCATTTACCAGAATACTCCATCATTGGCGCTCAGCTTAACGCACTTCCGGAAACATCGCTTCTCGGCGTCTCACTCAACAGATAGTCGAGATGAAAGTTTCTGCAACAACGCCTTCAACAATTTTGGAGGCCCTGGTCCACGCAGCATCTTCAGCTACTCCAGACAACACGAAGTGGCATCATTTTACCAGCGAGATCGAGGTAGGCTCTTTTGTTCTCATTATTAATGAATGTTTGCCCCCAGGTAAAAATGCCCAATGGCACGGGTTATGAAACTCATACGAGGCAAGGACGGATTGCCCAGGGTTGTCGAACTGAAGGCAGCTACCACGACGCTCACTTGACCAATCGTCAAGTTAGCTCTGCTCCATCGGCCCACTTCAGACAGAGCAGACACGCAGAAAACATCATCGACCAGTCGCTGATGGCCGGGGGGAAATGTTGGCGAATTGTCGATTTGTATCGCGCACCGATCGTAGTCGTAACTCGCAGGTGTGCGATAGCGGCAGCACCTCCCGGTCGCGTTTTGTTCACGCAGCCCTCTCACCATGCGGGAGCCGGCATGCTGCATGGAAGACACCATTATCGGTTTGCGCCCAGTACGTTCAACACGTGGTAAAATCACCTAACGTAAATCTCAGTTTATCCACGTAGTGCGACTCGGAGTTTCTCGTCGGTTGTAACCCATTTCAAGTAGTTCGGGGTTAGGTCGCCAGCAGAATTGCGTGTAATTAATTACTTTTAAAATTAATTTCCGCCTTTAATTGACAATTAATTACAAACGATGTAATTAAAAATTATTTAATTAAAATTGAATTAAGCAGAATTAATCGAAAGTCATTCAATTGACGATTACTTTAAGCAAAATTAATTGAAAGTCATTTAATTGACGATTTGTTTATATCTTTAATGTTATAAAATAATTTTTTGGAAAAAAAGTTTAACCGACTTCGAAAAAGGTGCAGTGAAAAGTATGAAATAATTCCTAGTCAATTTATATGAATACGCACTAGCTCTAAATATAATTGCTTAAAAGTATGGGAAAATGCAGTGAAAAGTATGAAATAATTTCTAGTTAATGTATATGAATGCGCACTAGCTCTAGATATAATTGTTTAAAAGTATGGGAAAATGCAGTGAAAAGTGTGAAATAATTTCTATTTAAACTGCATTGTTATTATTCACCATCGTTTGATGAATTTGGTTAAATTATTAAATACATCATATTAAATGCAATGCACCTTTTTTGGAGGCGGCGCAGATGTAAAAATTGTTTAATTCCTGTTTGGGTTAGCTTTTGGTAGAGGCGGCAATATTGAATGCTGTCAGTGTATACATGTTTATTGTCTATGAGGAATTAATATTTAATGTATATAGTAGTACGGAAATATAGTGTGAGTAGATTTGGGGCTTTTTTTTGGAGGGGAGTGACGGCCATATTGATTACTGCTAATGTATAAACTCTCCATATGGAAATACTGTATAAATAAGTTTGGGATAGTATTTGGAGGCGGCGGCGATATTGAATAGTGTTAATGAATATGATGTCAGAGTGGATGTAATGATAGCAATAAATAAAGACCATATTTTTTGTTTCTCCGACAGAAAGTTAAACTAAGTTTAGCAATTTTTAATATACTTAATTCTAAATTTTGCGCCGCCTCCGAAAAAGGTGCATTGCATTCAATATGATGTATTTAATAATTTAACCAAATTCATCAAACAATGGCGAATAACAATCCAGTTTAAATAGAAATTATTTCACACTTTTCACTGCATTTTCCCATACTTTTAAGCAATTATATCTAGAGCTAGTGCGTATTCATATACATTAACTAGACATTATTTCATACTTTTCACTGCATTTTCCCATACTTTTAAGCAATTATATCTAGAGCTAGTGCGTATTCATATAAATTCATTAGAAATTATTTCATACTTCTCACTGCACCTTTTTCGAAGTCGGTTAAATTTTTTTTCCAAAAAATTATTTTATTTCACTCTTTTTAGTGGAAATCTATAACCAATAGGTTTCATGCAATAAGAACAGCTATGAGCCATATACAGGATGACCCAAAAACGTTGGAGGTCCTTGAAAAGACTTCTT